CATCACTGTGGGTCCCTTCTCCGTGTCAGGGTTCAAGGTGAAAACCCTAGCCCGTCGTTTTGGGTTCAGCAGTGGCGGCGCATTGCGCCGTTAGCCTCTTGGGGGGCAGCGTCGGGGACCTTAGGTGCCTACTGGTTGCAGTGTGTCGGCGTCTTCGGGTTTGCTTTGATCCTGGCGTGAAGCTTCTTCAACTTAGGCATGTAGTTGATTCGTGGGTCTCCAACCTTTTAAATGTGTCCTTTTTGTCACCATCCCCGGCCCTCGCTATCCACTGGCGAGAGGGCATGTGACCCTCTCCGGTGATATCTTGGTGTGTTCGGTGCAATGGGGTCCAGTGGTTTCCCAAGGCAGCATGGTTTCATTCCTATCGGTAGTCTAGGTCGCCACCTTTTTTCATGCTCGGCTTTTAGTTGGTGGTGTTCTCGCTTACCGCTCGGATGTCTTTTTCTCTTTTGACATGCGTGTATGAGGATTTCAACCGATTTTTATCTATTCAGCCGTTTGTGTTTTATATATAAAATATTAAAATTGTGCTGCTTTATATATATAATGGTGCGATGGCCTGGTTTGCGAGTTTTCGGCTGAAGGATGAGGACGAACCTGCTGATGTATTGCTTGATATGATGCTCTTGGATGTAATATGAATAGAGTTCTCTCTCTGTAGTTTCTGTTCAGTTTGTCCAAAAAAAATTGAGAAATGCTACTAAAGCTTTCGTTTTCAAGGGGTCTTCACCAACAGCTGTGTCATCAGTTTCATTTTGAATGAAATGAAATTGGGAGCTCTCCTCCTTAATTCGAAAAAGAAGAACAAAACATGGGGGTACAGTGGACTTCAAAGACTTTGAGATTGCAATGCATCGGTTTCTGCTTTCTGAGTCACAACCACCGGTATCATACAATCGTGTCTAACACCCTCAGTTTCCCTGTGCAAACACTCACACCCACTATATGTTCCTTGCGTCTTGCTATTGTGCCATCTCCATTTCAAACTGTACTACATTCTCATTCCACAAGCTGCTGGCCAAGGACTTCTCGTAGAAAGTTACCTCACCATCCAGTTTCACCCCAATGGCAGCCATGCTTCGTGTCCCGTATCTTGCCTGAAAAAGCAGATAGAAATTTCAGCATCTCCTTGCACAATACAATTGCCAAAGCAAGAAAGTCAATCTGTTACATGGCAGGCATTTGTGCGAGCAATCTGCACCATCCATGTGAAGCGCTGTTTGCGCGAAACAACATCTTGATACGATTTACCTGTCCCTTTTTCGTGTCGATGAATATAGAGCTCAACTCGTATTCCCAGTCAGGATCCACGCCAGTGTCAGGCACCACAGATCTGTCAGCTTTGACCGTATCTGTCATCAGTTCTTCAACCATCTGCTTCAAAGAGACTTCTGCGTCATCATGTGCTGCAAGAAATCCGTTGAAGCTCTGTCCCAAGCGCAACACCTGCAGGATGAGAAAAGAAGACGATGCGTGAAACTAGTACACAACTCTAGCTCGGGAAAAATTAGAATTGAAGCAATCAGAAGCTCCGGGTTTCCTCAGAATTTGTCCGTTTGTATATTTATCCTATCGGTGAAATGGTGCATAAAACCTGCTTATCACAAGACAGTGCACTTATAGTGTTTAGAAACATGTATCATGTATGCATTCTAAAACTATAAAAGAGAACCCACTAAATACAGGTGCGAATTTTAATTGACCACAGTATTCGCTCAATTAGATTCAGTTTCTCTTCAAGATAAAGGGCAAAGGCAAACTCTTGTTTACGTGTTCTCTAAGAAAACAAAATGAACTTCAGTGGAAGCAAAGATAAATATCTAGACCAGTTGCCCAACTGCACAAGAATTTCAGATTGTACAGAATAGAACGGACTTGGAATATGTGAAGGTCAATTGCACACAAAAAAACAAGTTCATTTCCAATACCCAGCAACAATTAATATGGATAGGAGAGAGTGGTAGTTTTCTGGATTATCATAAATTCAAATTAACCAGCAAAAATATGAACTCTTAACATACCAGACCAGTTTGTTAGTATCTATGGACAAAGTAACCAAAATTTAGTGGATTTTTTTGTTCAACTTTAGCAATAGACCAACAAATCTGGTCCAGAAAGCATGTCATCACAAATTGAGAAATGAATGGAAGATTCACATAAACGACAGATGGAGCATTAAACTGGGCTATTGCAATTTTAAGTTTTAAGCCAGACAAGTTTGGTCACATGAAACTTCCACGAGGTGCCTGAATCTCAAGCATCTTGACTTCCTTTTTTTTTTGCAGAACAATAACTTGAGCGTAGTAGCAGCAAAGAACTATCCAGAAAAACATACAAAATCACACTCCAGTCATGAGTACAGTTGTTGCATGTACCTTTGGCCAAGGGGAATCAATAGCAGCATTAGAAAGCACATGACACCCAGGAGAAACTGTTTGAACCACAGGAGCGTCACCTGGCTTATTAGAGATGTACACCATGGTTCCTGAACGCACATCAGCCAATACAAGATTAAAACCATTGTACTGATCTGCTTCCTTTGCAATTTCAGTTGCATACTCCAATGGACCCTGCCTGCCCTATATCAAAAATATCACAGCAACACAAACATAGTCAAGAACACAGCATGGATTCCTTAAACAATAGTCAATGAGGTTGAAAGGTATGATGGAGGGAGACTGCAGAAAATGCAGTGACCTCCCATATGTAAGGAAAGTCAAATGGGCTGGTCACTTGCAAATTGAAGAGGTCATTCAACAGAGGCAAACCTCCTATTTTGAATTTGAAAGATGAAGTTGAATCAGCATCATATGCCAGGATAACATTCGACACAACTATGGCATGCTGTATAATAGAATTATCTTTGTATACACATACAAATTATGGTACACTAACTTTGCTTTTGGAGTTGTGGGCGCACAAAAGAAGGGCTTATTCCATTGGAGCATATGCAGAGCAGGATCACACATTACTCAAAATCTTAGTAGGATACATCATGCAAGAATCTGTTTTGAGTTCAACTACCGAAGGTACGGAGAAAACAGAGCAAATTTGAGAAGGTCGCACCTGGAGAAACCTGACGGGAAGCTCCCCTCTGGACCTCGCCCCAACCCGGGGGCTGGGCTCCCGGACGTTCGTCAGGAAGGCCAACTTCCCTCCCTTAGTGCACCCCAGCCACGTGCCCCCGCCTAGCTCGTCCTTGCCCCCGAGGATCTCCTCGCCCTCCCCCGCGGCGGCCCACCACTGCGCTGGCCGCGTCGGCCTTCACATAATTCGCGCGCGCACGGTCAGAAGGATAGAGAGATTGGAACACGAAGTGGGGGCGGATCTGGGCTACGAGGGGGGCGGCGCACCTGGAGTGGAACTCGTCGCGGTTGAAGAGGAGGAGCAGGCCGTACGCCGGGTGAGCCTGCCATGTCCACGCCGCGATGCACATGGCCGTCGGCGTCGGGGGCTCGGTTCGGTGGAGAAGGCGAAGGGTTCGGGAGGTAGTCGGAACACGTGTGTGCTCGCGTGCTCGCTGACCGCGGCGCCCGTCGTTGGGTAGAGCACGACGAGGACGGCCGACGGTGACCGGCGAGATGGTGTAATTACGGAAAGGTACCTACAGAAGCGCGAATATATGTCCCTGGTTGGAAGACGGGGCACCGGCTTGCACAGGTTCTCCTAACCGTCGATGGCCTAACCAGTGGTCCAAATCATTATCACCCTTGCACTTGGCCGGAGCTAGAGGTTAAGAGCATCTGCAAAACGTCAGTGCCAGACCGGAGAAAAGCCATCCAACTGGACGTCTCATAGCCGCCCACACAATCGGACTGACCGACACTCCCCATACCCGGCCAATATTTAGGGCGGATATGGGATGCTCGCGATTGGACGCGGGGGCCACATCGAATCGACCCACTAGGCCCGCGCCACCCTGCCGATGCACCACAAATACCTCACCCCGTCAGACGATCCCTAGTCAAATCCTCACTTTCTCAGTCCACTCGTTTTCTCCGTTGCTCGTCCCACCGCTTCCTCTCAAATTCATCCCCGCCCCTCGGCCATGGCCAAGTCTGTGAAGGACTCCGGCAGCGAGTCCGATCCTATGGACTGGGATGACCTCGTGAAGGAGGAGGACATCGGCTCCGGCAGCGACGTGCCAGATGATGAGGAGCTCCGCCGCCAACTCCTTCGGGTCCCGCCGACGGAATGCTTGTCGCGCCCGCCCGCCCCGCTCCACATCCGAAGCAGAGCGGGTGTCAACCCTTCTCCTCCGGCACCATCCTTGCCCGAGCAGCATTGGGTGCTATAAGGATATATTTATCCCTAAGTGGTTTTGGTGATTGATAACAATGCATTTGCGGACTAATCGTATGCATTGAGCATTTCAGATATCTCATGTCTAGGCACAACACGATTTGGTGCCCCTCGGAGCCTATCGAAGACGGCGTTTCTCTATGTCTCTTTTCGGTGGATTTGAGTCATAGAAAAGCCGTACTATTAAGAGAGGGTCCGCTTTGGAAAGGTTAGGATGAAATCATCACGTACACATCTATTTCTTTGCACCACCTTTCCTTGCTTCTTTGGAGCACCGGTTGTTCCCCTTGTAGCTGCGAAGATGAAGGCATCGTAGTGCTAATGATTTGCGGCATGCGGTAGTACTGCTTAAGGAAGCAGTAGTACCGCAGCTGGCCACGGTAGTACCACCCTGAGGTAGCGGTAGTACCGCAAGTGTGTGGCATGAGCGGATGTAGGGACGAAAGTAATTTTTTACTTCTGCACCCTACGCGGTAGTACCACTCCCTGTGAGCTGTAGTACCGTGTTGGATTTTTGCACTGACCAAAACTCAGCGGAAGTAGTCACAGATGTAATTTTATTAGTTCGTGCCTTCCCAGCCCAGGATGTGCTTTGCCTTGCGGTAGTACCGTGATACGTCTCCGCCGTATCTACTTTTTCAAACACTTTTGTCCTTGTTTTGGACTCTAACTTGCATGATTTGAATGGAACTAACCTGGACTGACGCTGTTTTCAGCAGAATTGTCATGGTGTTATTTTTGTGCAGAAATAAAAGTTCTCGGAATGACCTGAAAATAAATGGAGATTATATAAAAAATACTGGAAGAAGAATCCACGTCAGGGGCCCAACACCCTGTCCACGAGGGTGGGGGGCGCGCCTACCCCCTGGGCGCGCCCCCCTGCCTCGTGGGCCCCCTGACGCTCCATCGACCTCAACTCCAACTCCATATTTTCACTTTCGGGGAGGAAAAAATCGAAGAGAAGGATTCATCGCGTTTTACGATACGGAGCCGCCGCCAAGCCCTAAACTCTCTCGGGAGGGCTGATCTGGAGTCCGTTCGGGGCTCCGGAGAGAGGAATCCGTCGCCATCGTCATCATCAACCTTCCTCCATCACCAATTTCATGATGCTCACCTCCGTGCATGAGTAATCCCATCATAGGCTTGCTGGACGGTGATGGGTTGGATGAGATTTATCATGTAATCGAGTTAGTTTTGTTAGTGTTTGATCCCTAGTATCCACTATGTTCTGAGATTGATGTTGCTATGACTTTGCTATGCTTAATGCTTGTCACTAGGGCCCGAGTGCCATGATTTCAGATCTAAACCTATTATGTTTTCATGAATATATGTGAGTTCTTGATTCGATCTTGCAAGTCTATAGTCACCTATTATGTGTTATGATCTGTTAACCCCGAAGTGACAATAATCGGGACCATTATCGGTGATGACCGTAGTTTGAGGAGTTCATGTATTTAGTATGTGTTAATGCTTTGGTCTGATACTCTATTAAAAGGAGGCCTTAATATCCCTTAGTTTCCAATAGGACCCCGCTGCCACGGGAGGGTAGGACAAAAGATGTCATGCAAGTTCTTTTCCATAAGCACGTATGACTATATTCGGAATACATGCCTATATTACATTGATGAACTGGAGCTAGTTCTGTGTCACCCTATGTTATAACTATTGCATGATTGATTACATCCGACATAATTATCCATCACTGATCCATTGCCTACGAGCTCTTCATATATTGTTCTTCGCTTATTCACTTTTCCATTGCTACTGTTACAATCACTATAAAACCAAAAATATTACTTTTGCTACCGTTACCACCATTATCATATTACTTTGCTACTAAATACTTTGCTGCGGATATTAAGTTTCCAGGTGTGGTTGAATTCACAACTTAGCTGCTAATACTTGAGAATATTATTTGGCTCCCCTTGTGTCGAATCAATAAATTTGGGTTGAATACTCTACCCTCGAAAACTGTTGCGATCCCCTATACTTGTGGGTTATCAAGACTATTTTCTGGCGCCGTTGCCGGGGAGCATAGCTCTATTCTTTGAATCACTTGGGATTTATATCTGCTGGTCACTATGAAGAACTTGAAAGATCAAAGAACCAAGATTTTTTCCTCAACTACGAGGGAAGGTAAGGAATTGCCATCTAGCTCTGCACTTGATTCACCTTCTGTTTTGAGTAAACTTGCTACACCTACACATGCTATTGATTCTGATAGGCCGCATGTTATTGATGATGCCACTTCTGCTTTGCATGATATTTATGATGAAACTACTTCTATGCTTGATACTACTGTGCCACTAGGTGAATTTCTCGATGAACAACTTGCTAGGGCTGGAGAGAATGAAATTATTGAAACTAATAATATTGATGAAAGTGATGATGAAGATTCTCCCCCTAAATATGAATTGCCTGTTGTGCTTGAGGGTTATGTTATGGATGAAGAAACTGCTAGAGACTTCTTAGCTTGCAATGATAGATCTGATCTTAAGAAATTATTAGCTAAGCTTAAAGAAAAGTCTTTGAATGCTAGAATAAAATATGACCCTGCTTTTGCTACTTCACCTATCTTTATTACTGATAAGGATTATGATTTCTCTGTCGATCCTGAGATAATTACTTTGGTTGAATCTGATCCTTTCTACGGCTATGAATCTGAAACTGTTGTGGCACATCTTACTAAATTAAATGATATAGCCACCCTGTTTACTCATGATGAGAAAACTCACTATTACTTTATCCTTAAGTTGTTTCCGCTCTCATTAAAGGGTGATGCTAAAACATGGTTTAATTCTCTTGACCCTGGTTGTGTGCGTAATCCACAGGATACGATTTATTACTTCAGTGCTAAATATCTCAAAAGAAACAAGCTGCCTTAAGGGAAATATATAATTTTGTGCAAATTGAAGAAAAGAGTCTCCCACAAGCTTGGGGGAGGCTTCTACGATTACTTAATTCTTTGCCTGGTCATCCTCTCAAGAAAAATGAAATACTTGATATCTTTTATAATGGACTAACCGATACTTCCAGAGACCAACTGGATAGTTGTGCTGGTTGTGTTTTCAGGGAAAGAACTGTTGATCAAGCTGAATTGCTATTGAATAATATGTTGACTAATGAAAATAATTGGACACTTCCTGAACCAACTCGTAAGCCAACTTCGAAGAAAAGGGGTATTCTATTTCTAAGTCCTGAAGATATGCAAGAGGCAAAGAAATCTATGAAAGAAAAGGTATTAAAGCTGAAGATGTTAAGAATTTACCACCTATTGAAGAAATACATGGTCTTGATAACCCGACACAGGTAGTAAAGGTAAATTCTCTCTATAGATTTGATAAATGTGAAATCCCATTTACTAAGTTTGCTAGCCAATGCTTGGATGAGTTTGATGCCTTTATGGTTAAACAAGAAAACTTCAATGCTTATGTTGGTAGACAATTGAAACATAATGCTCATATGCTTGAACACTTGAGTGATTATATGTCTAGAGTCAAAGGTGAACTTAAACTTATTAGTAAACATGCTTCTATGGTTACCACTCAAGTAGAACAAGTACTTAAGGCTCAGAATGATTTGCTCAATGAACTAAATAGTAAGAAAAATGATAATGCTGTTAGAGTTATGACTAGAGGTGGTAAAATGACTCAGGAACCTTTGTATCCTGAGGGCCATCCTAAGAGAATTGAGCAAGATTCTCAAAGAACTAATGTTGATGCACCTAGTCCTTCTAAAAGGAAGAAAACAAAAAATGATAGGACTTTGCATGCTTCTAGTGAACCGGTTGTAGACACACCTGAGAATCCCAACGATATTTCTATTTCTGATGTTGAAACACAATCTGGTAATGAACATGAACCTAGTGATAATGTTAATGATGATGTTCATGTTGATGCTCAACCTAGCAATGACAATGATGTAGAGATTGAACCTGCTGTTGATCTTGATAGCCCACAATCAAAGAATCAACGTTATGATAAGAGAGACTTTGTTGCTAGGAACCACAGTAAAGAAAGAGAACCATGGGTTCAGAAACCCATGCATTTCCTCCTAAACCATCCAAGAAAAAGGATGATGAGGATTTTGAGCGCTTTGCTGAAATGATTAGACCTATCTTTTTGCGTATGCGTT